CTTATTCTAAAAAGTTATTTTATGTGCACGCCAACGCGTACACGTGACTTCGATTTCTCAACTAGACACTGTGTTTTGACAAGGGGAACCACGCCGGAAAGTCAAGATGAATGTTCTCGGCCGGCAAGGGGATCGATGTAGATCCAAATTTAAATCTAACAAAACAATTCATTGTCGCAATAACGAGAAACTTAATGCTGTTGAATTTGAAAGCACCACCATTGACCATTTGTTCACGCGTTCCACAATTCTTACTATCACATTTTGTCACTGAATATATACTACAACTGTGCCTGATTGATGGCATCAACTTGTTTTCGTGGAGTGTTTTGGTCTTTTTCTAGATTTTGTTGCATCATTAGAAAATTTGCATCTGAGTTTGGTGCCGCCATATTGAGATTTAAAGGATTAGGAATTGAAATCTAAGTGATGACTTTTACATTTAAAACGATTTTAACAAACAGCATCTAGCTTTATAATAGGGCTCATTCTAAATACTGTTTAGTATCAGTGCTTTTGTAGAAAGGGACTGGTTTTATATTTGCTTCCTTGGGCGGATACTGGTAAAATTGTCACTAAACAAATTGCCTTAGTTTTGTAACCATATCATGCATTAATCGTGTAGCAATCTCTTCCCAAATATCTCACAATTATTTATGTATCAAACGTGTCAACAAACTTCGATGCAAGGTCAGGTCTCGGATCGCATACGGGGTGCACATCCCGTGTACATATTGACATGTACGTAAAAGAAAACTTGACAGCTGAAATTTGATATAAGAGTAGGCTGTAGTGCTACTGCCCGGGCAATATTTCCCTTATAGCACACTGCATGGCGTATGCCAGTCTTTATTAGTCCCGTAGAAGCAGTACATTAGGACGTTAAACTCCATTTCATTTCATTTTGTGCCAATGGTTATCTATAATATTTGGATTCAAAATATAAATAGCTATATTAAATCAACCCCTTGGTGGTGTAGGATAAAGGCCCTGACAAGACAGCGTCTAGTCGTGCGGATAATACGACAAACCGAGGTCACATGTACGTGTTGGCATCAACGTAAGAGAAAACCTTGACAGTCGGAATTCGAAATAAGAGTATGGACATAACATTGTGTAGCTTATACCCTTCTCGGTTAGCCAAATTGGCACAGAAAAGTGGGAACTTAAACCGCATTTATTTTATTTCAGTTATACATCGTCCAAGTTGTAACATTGTGGCCCTGTAACACATGGTATCTATTCCGTTTCTGTTGAATTAATTATCCGATATTAGGACGTATCGCCCGGTTATTATGTATCTATCTGTCCATCTAGCAGACTCGACGGGTTCTTATTCGGCACCGCGTCAAATATTGTAATTATACTAATCCTCGGATCATTAGCTAGGGAAGAACGGAATTAATAAGTCACTGGTTCAACATCACTCAGACATTTTACCGATATTACTCAACGTCTGACCCCTGTGGCGAAATGTTGACCTCGTACTATCCTGATAGACAAGTTCGAATTCAGTTACATTTTAGACCACTGAAGACCACTAATTAAAACGTATATGAAGGCCAACCTGTCTGGTGAAAATTAATCAAAGATATCATTGGACTGGTTTTGGATTCGGAAAACGCACCTTTTAGTTTCAAATAATCTTACGATACTGGTAAATATCGGGTCAAGGCACAGAAAAGCTGGACAATATGAATATCACAATAACTTATTTGTAACTTTGTGAGGAATTATGAAGACATTGAAAACAGCAGAATACTCAATTTCAATCCGAGTCATAAGATAGAACAACGACAGCTCGTTAGATGTGTAGGGGATGTTTTCGACGCCTTATATCTTGATAACAAAACACCAAACAGTCCGTTTATTGGTTTTAGAATGGTGTTGTCAATGTCTGCCCCCTTGGGCCTTTTATTGATTACTTGCCGGTCATCGAAATCCGCGTATTTCAACACATTGGGTACATCATTTAGATAAGGAGGTCAGTTGAATTACAATTCTTTATGATTGCTGTTCTCTTATCGTCATTTAGATTTTTCAGACATTTGATTTTCAAGACTGAATCCACGCTATGTACTCAGAATAAGTATTTAAAATTTGATTAAGAAAAACAGAAGAAAAAAAAATCTTACTTTCAGTGTCCATTGCTAAATAGCGGATATTGGCTAAATAATTCTTTTTTTTTATCGGATTCGCTCTTATAATTTATATAACGTAAATACTTACTGTTTATGTATATTATTAACTTTTTATACTTTAATCCTTTATTTATTTTGTCAGTGTTCTATGTCATAATATTATGTTTATTGTGAAGCATCTGTAAGTACATTTGGGGAAATGGCGCTATACAAATGCTTGTAAATAATAATAATAATAATAATAGTGATAATAATAATGATGAAGAATTGTTATCCGGTATGCGTCAGGTTTATTCCAGCTCAAATTTATGTTTGTTAAAAAAAAACCAGTAATCATGGAGCGGAGATGTAGAATTTAGAAATGGCTAAACGACGACTTCATCACCCTCCATGTCAGTACTATGCAGTCGTTAATTAATTAATGTCAAATGTTTTATTCTAAAATGATTGTAACGAAAACACCCAAAAATCTTCCAGCGGAATTGGAGATTTAAAGAAATGACTTTAATCTTATCCACGCCATCGTTGGTCTTACGTTTGATTTGACATGACGTCGGCCTTACAGTTCCCTTTGCCAATCAATCTAATTCGACACATTCTTGCATTGACTGGTCGTTGAAAAATCTTATAAATCCTCGAATTGCAAAAGTGATCTGCATGTTTTATATAAAGAAGAGTATACTGTGTAATTAATTACTAATTCCTGTTTTTCTATATTACCGTTTTTCTATATTACTGTGTAATCATATATATGTCTTGTATAAAAAAAATGAATAAAAAAATAACAACAACATGTGTCTTAAAATCGATAAATATAACTCAAAATTGTTCTCGTATTTTGTACTTTTTACGCTGATCATTTTCATTGGTCTCAACACTAATTATAGAAAATTATTACTTATTGACATTTTAGTTGTTTATACGTGTATAACTTGAGACAATTGTTTCCAGTATGTTATGTGTGGTGTGGGAGTTTTACCGTGGTGAATATATCAAATGGGACATAAAAATAGAATTTATTGGGCATTCCGGTGAAGAGAAAGATCATCACAATAAAACTAGAATGTCGAAGCAATTAAGCGGATAAAGTAGAGTAATGTCCCCAGGTGAAGAAAAAAAATACGAAGAATAAAAGTAGAGAATAGAAACCTATCTTCTGAATAAATATATAGCAGTCGTTCTTAAAGGTCAATAAATCTCGAAGTAGCATTAAGACAAAATAATGTAATAACGGTAGATGGACTTCACCGAGGTATCATGGAGTATTAATGGCGCCTACGTCATTCAGTGTGTGGAACGCTGGGTTGCTGTTTTAACCAAGAAAGTTTCTCTGGATTTTTCCGGTGGTTTCCCCGTAACCCCGAACCGCGGTAATTCAGTGTGTAAGCTGCTCTGTGGCTAACTTAGAGATACCCGTTTCGGTTCCACTGTGGCTCGAGTAAGTAACTCTGGTTTCCCCTTATCATTAGTGTAGGATCGGGTGGGGGTGGGGAGGTAGTGTCTAGTTGTTCGGGTGTTACGACCCTAGTCAGTTCGAATTAGTAATGCCATTTCGACACAGTTCGGGCGACATACTCATAGCCCACTGCTAGCCTATGTCCGTATTCATTCGCGTGGGTTTAACAGAACAGTAGGACGTTCAACCCCATTTCATTTTATTATTTTCATGGCACAATAGTAGCAAGTGCGACGAAAAAAGTAAGCATTATATACCTCTAGCACGATAACCTCCACTATATTTTAACACACAATTAAGTTAAAACAGAAACTCAAGTTAGTAAATTGTCCTGCTCTGCACGGAAGGATTAAACATTTAATTTTTGAAAACAGATGTCTCAATGTCTCATGTGTTTTGATTTGAGATTAAACGTAAGATGTAGTAAAGTATTACAAGATAGGAAAGATTACAAAAACCTTTTTTACACAACTCACAAAAGAAGTTTAATCCGTGCAAAGTCGTCTTGATCAATCCAAAAAATGGGGATTTTGTAGCACGCGATGGTGATATTAGCGTTTGGAACTAATATCCCGTTTTACTATGTTGCAATATCAGCTTGTGTCCGACAAAATTGAAAACCTAGGACGCTTTAGTGAGTAGTTAATGCCACTCTTAATGAAACCAGAGCACCTCAGGCAAAGCGAATCTCTTTGTTGTTGGATTTCAAACCGTTCACAAGTACCAGACGCACTTAGCTTTGTTAGTTCATTAATGGTGTCAAAGTCAACTAGCTAAAAATAAAACGACAATAACGGTAAAAGGAAAACACAGACACAGCATCTGTATGGAAATACACAGAGGTAGATATAGATGATGTCCTCTAGACTATTCCAGTTATTAGGCCCTACCAATCACCCACCCTCGCGACAAGAAAAAGATAAAAGTGGGTTATAGAATTGAGCAAAGCCGGGAATGATGCCCGGTGTTTAAGACTACAGTTGTTGAAAGGAAGTCCTATGTCCGCGTCAAAAATATCTAAGACATTGGTTGCCCCCCCCCCCCACCTCAGATATTGTGGCCCTATGGCACAGCATATTCAGCACAACCATAATCGTACATGGGGTCATGCAACAGCAATTCAAATGTGGACAATATTTAGATAAAGATGGATTTAATTGCTAGAGAAGTTGATGTCCCTGGCTTTATAATGTCACAATTTGAACAGCGTTTCAGTGGCAACTAATAATTCCATAATTAATCATTACAATACGCCGTACTCGTAGAAGAACGGGATTAATCGTTACAGGACACCGTACTGATAGAAGAACATTACATTAAATACAACTGAAAACACAGATCGAAAATACAAATCACAATGGTAATATGGGTGGATAAAAAATAAATAATATAATGATTCTTACCTAAAGTATCCTGTTCTCGGATTTGTTTAGCTCGTCCCAGAAACCCAGGTAATCCATAATCTGTTAATTTTAAAACCCAGCGACTGTCTATAACACAATTGGTTGATTTCAGATAACCATGCCATTTTAAACTACTGTTGTGTAGGTATCGTAAACCCTAAATATATATATTATTAACATAATTTGCTGGTTTCAGATAACCATGGACTTTTAAATATTATTAAAGTAAACAAAATAATAATAATAATAATAATAACAATAATAAAAACATGTACGATCGCACAATATGTACCAGAAACCGTAAATGACGTCACCGCCGCCATCCCGGAGTAGGAACGTGATATCAAAAGTCCAAGGAACAAACGTGTCTAGTGACATGATGATTATACTTGAAGTGGGTGATCTATCGTCCTTTTTCGAAGCGCGTCGCTATCTAGACGGGGGCCACGTCGGCTAAGTGAGTAAGACGCTGGCTCGCTAGCGTGAAGGCCGCGGGTTCGCTCACGGTGTTGGAGAGAAAGTTCATCGGAATTTTCTAGCGTAGTTTCCGCTTGTCAGTGGTGCGAACGGAGGCCCCAACGAGGACATTGGCGTGCACGTAAAAGATTGCTTGGACGTAGCGCAGCTGTCCGGACACAATTTCCCCCATAGCACACTGTATGGCGTCTTTCCGTCTTTATTAGCCCAGTCGGAACATAATTGTAGAACGTTAAACCCCATTTAATTTCCTTTCTTTTCATTGCGATCAAGATGATGATGATAAACAAGAAGATGAATAACGCTGGGTGACCAGAACCTGCGCGTCGCCATCAAGATGAAGAATTTGAAAAAAATGAGTGGTGTTTGGAACTCAGTTACTGGACCAGAAGAAAAATTACTAATAATGTTGGGTGATTGGGTGGTTTAAGTCCTGCGCGTGAAATCTTAAGGTCCCTCAGTGAGTCAAGTGGTGTGATTTTGATTCCACATTGTACAGGGTGTAGTGTATGTTCCTGCAGCAACGACTGTGAGTTTCATAACATCTAGCCTTGCTTCTTTACTTCACAATTCCCGAACTTATAGCTATGTTATCTACAGGCACGTGAGCAGTAGCGTCCAATCAGAGGTTTTGACATCGCGACCTTCACGGAAACCGTGACATTGAATGAACCTTGAGCTTTGCAACTCAATTATCACAGATAGACATTTTAGCTTGAAAGCGCGAGACTTGGTATTCGCGACGATCGAGGCATCTGATAGGCTCACAAGTTGGGCTTGTACCCAATCGAAATTAGTGCCGATATATGCGGGGCATTACATGAAGGCCTTGATAAAATGTACATAGTTAAAGCCAGACCAAGCCTTTTATTGAAGATGTGGGTAGTGTCGCCTGTCCAGCCTCGTGTGTTTTTTTCCTCCCATCGCTAAAGACCCCTACACACTAGCGAGTTATTGAAATGAAATTAAAACATTCAGAACTGAAAAGAACTAGTTTGTGTCGAGTAGACGTTTTTAAACCCCATGTCCCTCTCGGGATATCTTGTAAATTTAATTAAGGAGTGTAGAATCTGGTAGTAGATACAGGATTAATAAATGATAATATACTTTACTTAGCGGCATTTCTACTAGAACTCTCTAGTCGTAATCAATAAATGTCATTGATGCGATTAAAGATGAGTATCGATTCAAGATTGGAAACATTAGACTAAACGTTGATTTTTAAGAATGGTTAAGGGTAAAAGTAACAACTAGTATAATCGCTTGAGTGTGGGTGTGACGTATAATGGTACACAAATGGCGTCAGAATTGTACGGGTTATGAAATAGTGACAAGTCTCTGTAGGTTGACCATGCTAATACGAAATGGCGGTATGAAAGTCAATTCTTAATTCTTACTTGCCTATTTACCAAAAAAAAAAAAAAAAAAAATCAAGAAGGAACAAAAACGAAACAAAAAAACCCCAGTCGCATCTTAATATTTATCCCAATATATTTGTGTTTTCAGATGTCTACAAGATCCAAAAATTTTGTTACCTTTGCATGCACATAATCTTTTATATTGAAATACGTCGATATTTTTTCTTTTAAAAAATATACAAGAATATTTATGGGATAACAGTTTTCTGGTGTTCAAGTGATGATCGAACATTTACTTGTATGTATACAGTAGGCTATACACGTCAGTAGATCGTCAGTATTAATTGGGAACAATTCTCTATTTGATAAATATTTTTATTTGCGTGTGAGGAACGAGCTGCACAAATAACAATGTAGATGGTGTCAAGATACTTCTGACGTCACTGTTGTTCATCTATCTACAGTTACAACGTCATCTGTCATGGCATTTACCTAATATTGATCAGTTATACTCTAAATCAAGACGTGGTAATCACAGATCATTTCTTATAGCTGTCTGGTAAAATAACATAGATTGATGAACTATGGAACTCAGCTACTGACATATTTAAATTTACATTAATGTAAGAACCATAATAAAAAAAAACTGCAATAGGTAGATTTCGCTCTTACAAAATGCATCTGTAACTAAACCTATTAATATACATGGTTTAATCTAACAATATACAATATACATTGTACATATATTTTGTAATCTATGGCAAGTCAAAGCGGAATTAATTGGAAGACCGTTTTTCTGCATGGAAAGAGAAAAAATCGAGTATATAACAGTTTTTTTCATCACCTTCTAAGCATTTTTTTTCTGTACAAAACGACGTATAAAGATTCAACAAAGATTATTTTTTTCCATTGCTGCTCTTGTATTTTGTTATAGTCAAGTCAATTTATACTGTTCACGGAAATATTTTACCACTATATTCGGTTTTTATAAACAATTCAAGAAAAAAAAATACACATGTCAAGACGAAAAAATTCATATGTCAACACTAAAAAAATCACATGTCAAGACGGAAAAATTCAAATGTCAAGACGAAAAAAAAATCATATATCACGAGCACGTGACCCTTCAAGAGCACGTGACCACAAAAACCGATGACGTCACTGCAAACAAAGATGGTTGCTTTTCATTTTTTCTGGCCGATATTTTTGCATTGAACATGGCACGGATAACACCTCATCCAGATGATGAAGTTGATTTTCTTTTACCCCTTCCGGGTTTTGCTGCTGAGGCTGGCGCACAATGGGACACATTCGACTTGAACAGGGCAGGGGACAAAGTTGATGACGTCATCGGTTTTTGTGGTCTCGTGCTCTTGGAGGGTCACGTGATCGTGATATATGATTTTTTTCGTCTTGACGTGAATTTTTCCGTCTTGACATGTGAATTTTTTCGTCTTGACGTGTATTTTTTTGTCTTGACATATGAAAAATAATTTTGTTGAATTTTTTTCTAAAAACCGAATATAGTGATAAAATATTTCTGTGAACAGTATAACTGACTTGACTATAACAAAATACAAGAGCAGCAGTGGAAAAAAATAATCTTTATTGATATGCGTCGTTTTGTACAGAAAAAAATGCTTGGAAGGTGATGAAAAAATTGTTATATACTTGATTTTTCTCTTTCCATACAGAAAAACGGTCTCGCAATTAATTCCGCTTTGGCTTGCCATATTGATCTAACAATATACAAGATACATTGTTTAAACTAACAGTATACAAGATACATTGTTTAAACTAACAATACAAAATACGTTGTGCAAACTAACAATACAAGATACAGTGTTTAAACTAATACTATATAATAGACACAGTGTTTAAACTAATACTCAACAAGATACATTGTTTAAACATACATTATGCAAGAGCAAAATCTGATTATTGCAAGTCTTAATTTAGGCTTCAGATGTTATAGAAATTATAAATTAGATCTTTATTTAAACAACAAGCCCAAAATCTACTCTGTAGACCCACGGATGGCTCGGCTACAGCTCGGATTTAAATAGGATTTCACTTATTAATTAATTCAAATATGGCGCATCCTGATGAGAATACGTCAGTTAGATCGAGGCTAAATGATAGAGTGTACTTAGCGAGGCCGCTGTAGAGCGTTTCCGCATGCCATTGAAAACTTTACTTGATAATTGAGATATGTAGGTGGAGTTAACACCTGTCAATCAAACGACCGGCCTAGGTGAAGGCACATTTCACTACCATTTCTAGTCAAATATTACAACGATGATAACTATGTTCAGAACAAAGTAATTTGACTGAAATTTTCAATATATTCTTCTTTCATCATCTACTTTTGAACTGTTATAGCAAGAATGGCCAATTCTCTATAAAAATCTCCCATAATGTATCTTTAAATTTACCCTATATACATCGTTTAAACTTACCCTAACTAAGTCTATCACTAAACTGTATTTAAAATCCCAGTCTAATTTTATATCTTCATTTCTTATAACATCCTGGAATAGAACATAATTATAAACGATGAAGATAATGACGTGCAACGATACATAACGTTCACCTTGTCTGCAAGGACAACAAAGATATGCTGTCATTTAACTCCGGTGTAAATCTAATCTTTACAGTGAGCCAAACAGCTTCGGATGTAGACTATGGTTGCGACTACAGTCTGAACTATAGTATGGTCACGACCACAGGTTGAACTATAGTACGAAAATCCGTGCAACCGAAAGTTGCCCTTGATGTAAACTTGCATGAGCTAGACCATATAGTTTTATGCACGGAACAGCCCTGTAATACTTTTAACCCATTAATTAGCAGACTGTTATCAAACAACATCATGTAGTAAACTGTATAACACTTCAAATATAAAAAACAACAGTTTTCATCTAGGTGGATATTGATATCACATGATTTCTCTATCCATATAACACGTCTATTTACGGTTAGATGAATATGGTCTGTCCTGAAGAGGAAGTAGACTAAAAGAAGGAACGGCAATGCTTTAAAAGAGCATTGATTGTATAGGGATATGGTTGGGGAATTTGGTCTTTCGGTCTGGCTTTACTATTATCAACATGTGGAGAAAACTGTTTCATTTTACTAAATATCCCTGATTTGTCCCAAAGCGGGAATGCACTATACGAATCTTTGATTGTATAGGAATGTGATTAGGGAATTATCTCTCCATTTGACTAAATATCTCTGTCGCAGTCAATTATGTCCGTCAACTAATATACTCCCAGCTAGCGACAAAAAGGTAATAATTGTTTTAAGGCGTTCAATTGTTTTATGTTTGGCCCAGACAAGAGATGTTTCCGCCAACTATTCTCGTTGGTATACTTATAACATGTCTATCAATCGCACCCACCTGTTATGTTTTGTAGACTTTTGGGTAGAAAATCATTCGAATTTACATTTTACGTAAGGTGCGTGATAGTTAAATCGCCACAGACTATTGACCTCTCGTAGGAAATAAATCCATTCAAGATTTGTATCCGATAATTAAAGTATGTTAGGCTTTTTGTATACCTAATTACATCACCTAACATCATCGGAATGTTCAAAAATAATTTTTAGAGTCCGACACATGACGGTGACTTGATATTGAAGTCAACTGGATGATAATTACCAGTCTGAGAGCTGTCGGAAACCCATTTTCTTCCTGAAAGAGTCACTTCGAGATGGATGGCCGAATGGTGAGCGCGTACGCGTTGCATGATAAGCTCTGTCATTGAGTCAACTGGCGTGGTTTCGACTCGCCGGTTGTACGTGACAAGAAGTTGGATCGCCTGTCCCACCTTCTGGCTTTTCTCCGGGTCCTCCGGTTTCCTCCCACTGTTAAAGCGAATTATTGAAATAAAATTGAACCATATGTTAGTTCCGAAATGACCTAGTTTGTGTCGAGTGGACGTTACCCCTCTCCTCTCTCTCTCTCTCTTTCTTGAAAACAAAAATAACATTTTCATTTCCCCTCTCTCTCTCTCTCTCTCTCGCTACGCAAATCGTTTGGATTAAAGCTGACAGTTCTTTCTCATCTGACCTCCATTTTGAATGGCCACAATCTGCCAGTTGACGTCATGAGTTAGAACTTTAACTATTTTTAACAATAAGGGTGACAAATCCGGGCGGAATCTCGAAACACCTTAAAAGAAATATATAATATAATGCAACATTCAGATTCTAAGCCAAAGAGTCAACAAACATTGCACAACAAAAGAACAGCAATAAGAAAATACGATTTGTTGTAAATAGTTGGAATACATTCAGGAAATCAGAAGATACAATTACTTTTCTATATCCTGTTTCTGCAACTTAAATTTTACAAATGGCCTCTCTTGTCTGTCTAACTATGTCCCCGAATTTACTACCTTTGGCGTTGGTTTAAACAGTATTTATTTCGAAAATATTGTACACTTTGAAAGGGAGAGAGTGAGAGAAATTGGGTTTAACGTCCACTCGACACAAACTAGGTCATTTCGGGACTAACACATGGTTCAATTTTATTTCAATAATTCGCATGCGCGTAGGGGTCTTTAGCAGTGGGAGGAAATCGTAGCACCCGGAGAGATCTCACGAGGTTGGACAGGCGACCCTACTCCTTGTCACGTACAACCTGGGAATCGAAACCCCGTCAGTTGACTCAATGACAGACCGTATGATACAGCGCAGTGAGCACGTGCTAACCATTCGGCCATCCCCCCCCCCCACTTTAAAAGGCATAAAGAGTAGGATACACAAAACAAGCCTAGTAGGGTGTATAATGTACAATATCAAGTAATATGTCATATAGACAAAGCATAATTACAATATTCTAGTTATTGTACACATAAGTCAGTAAGTTTTGTGTTTAGCATTATGATAAGTAAGATGTCCAGAACAATATGTATGTCTCATTTAATGAATTTTTATCAAATGGGTTAAGTTAACGTTCTAATAGCTATACACGCGATTATTTAGATCATACTTCAGACGATCTCAAAGGACGTTGACAAATGCCGTTTACCTTGGATGCCGAAGAACGTCAAAAGCCTACTTGCCATTACTCCGCCATTAAGATTTGGTGCGACGATAAACTACTTGATTGATCTGAATGTATAACACCGGCTTTGGGAATAGATTCAATAATCAAACAGAATTCCACATTAATGGCGACCTCGCTACATTTTCATCTGTTTACACCACTGTGATTTAAAGATGAAGCATTGCGTTTGGAGACGTTCGCGGTTTGGTGACATAACACATTATTTATCACTATACTTGTCTATATAGGGGTGTTAAAACTAGATGTCCTATTTCCATTTTTGTTTACGGGCCGAACTGCAAGCCATTAAATTCATATTCTGGTAGAATAAATGGAAAGAAACATTCATGTCCAATACGGAATACAAAATCAGATATAATCGAAGTTTATCAATTAGAAAGTGTCTTGTATAAAATTAATGTCTAATGGTATTTTATCGCACCGCACGCAAACAATTTAATGTCATCTTCTGTTGCTACTATTTTTTCACAATATTCTATACAGATATTTTAACATACAATATTCCATACAAGGTGTTTTTGGTATGTAACAATATTAAACATATGTAGAGGATATAAATATATTTATATGTATATTTTCTATCGTCTACTAAAGACGGTATTGGTGTACAGGGACCGATACATTAAGTACATCAACCACTCATCTCTTTCGCAATGTATTTGGGTAACGATATGTTCACTTTATGTCCAAACTAGAAGTCAGAGAAATGTTAAAATTTAACGACTATGAATGTAGCTCTATGTTATAGTCAACTACACAAATGTATTTATTATAATATGACGAATTGTTTACTTGAATCTTATACAGCTGCAGATAAAAATAATATTGAAATATTGATTTTGTGTTCCATTTTCGACACAGTACGTCCAAATAGTTAATCACAAAATTGACTTCCTCTTAAGCGTCCAAAAGAAACATTTTAATTGTTTAAAGCTTGTCAAATCATTAAGCTTATTTAATTCGTTATTTTGCCCTAATGCTAGGTTTCCACTTAACTGTCGTGCGATGCGTTACGATAGAATTGTCCTTATTGAGTCGACGATTATGTCGGTATATTAGATTCAAAATTATATCGTGCTATCGTCTATATTCATGTAATTTTAATCTACGACCATGTATAATCTAATCTTTTTTTATTTGTTTCGCGTAGATGGGGATTCTAATCTTGCAATTCTTATTCTATTTCATGTTATTTCTATTATTGTAAAGAAAATTTTCTTTTCAACGAGGCTTTACATGTTTAGAATAAACATTGAACTTTCACCTAGCAACCATCATTATGACATCGTTTGGTGTGGCCACTACATGCGTATCTATCCTTGCAATTACGGAGAACGCTCGTGCATTCGGAGTTCTTTGTTTGACTGAGTTGAACAAAGAAGACTTTTGATTTTCAATTATTTCCAAAAAACTATAAGCTTATAGTTTTGTGCTCTATTATAAATTTGAATGTTGTCTCTGTCTCTGAATAGTATTAAAACAATACCAGCTCCTATCCCATGCAAAATTTTAATTTTCCTAGGTTCAAAATCAGCTATTGGGTACCTGTCAAATTCTATTTTTACAAAACGGATTAGTTTAGTAATAGTATGATTGCTGTACCAGGAGAACGAGGGCCTAGTAATTGGGTGTTTCAAACCCTTCAGTAATACGCAAATTGGTCAACCCCAGATTAACCTACTAATCAAGGCCTGAAAATTTTGCATAAAAGATGAAGAAAATAAATATAACAGAAATAGTATAAAATAGAATAAATATAAGATTAGAAGCACCATTTACGAGGAACTAATAAAGAGATTAGATTATACATTATCTTAGATTAGAAATTACGTGAATAAAAGTTAGACGATAGCACGATAGAAATTTGAATCTAATATATCGACATAAGGACAGTGGCTACTGGCTAGTTATTCGGATGGTATAAAGAGACATTTTTTTAAAGCAGTGATAGCATATAGACCAACAGTATATAAGTATTGTAATGTTCAAAATCTACATATGGCAATATAATGTGTCTGTGCATACATGCAGTATATTAAGTTAAATGTGAGTTAATCGAGTCTAATTGCATATTGTAGGATAGTATCTAGTGTCTTGAAAATCGAGTCAGTTGCTTAGCAACCGAGCGGATGTTGTGAACATGTGCGATGAAAGTAAAGATGAAAGTGCGTGATGTGAGCTGGTGACAGCGTACTGTTTTCTACCGCAAGTTAACACGAGCCAAAACGCTAAGATTATCTATGTATGTATCTATCAGAATATGACTTGTAACCAGTGAACCTTTGTGAAATAACTAATGTGATGGTGAATAAATAGTTGTTATGTTGCAGTTTCATATTTCTTATGGACACATCATGGGGTTTTATCAAAGCGGTGACGCGCGTATGTAACGATATGCTGAAAAGGGACTAGCTTAGATTTGTAGCGGTGTCATGTGAATAATTTAGTGGGGTGAACTTCATCGAACTAGTCTTCACCAGCTCGGCATCCACATAATCAAGTAGAAAACATCTGAAATTGACATTTCGATGAAAACATCGTGTTGTGCGACTTTCACTTTTGTGACATTAATTTGTGTTTTTCTGATGTCTGGAATGAAGAAACGTGAAGCGGGAAACATAACCCCTCCTCCGCCTGTCTTGGAGCCACACATAGAAATTGTAAGTACAAATTCTAGTCGTGAAACTGTCTCGGATCCTGGATTGATTTCCGATGATGTGATACAAAATGACATTGAAGTAACTGAGAATGACGACAGGCCGACTGGCCTGCACGGGGCCGGTATTCATGACGAACAAGTGACAGCAGCACGTGCGCCACATGGGGCCGGTACTATGTCTTTGGTTGATGATAAACCCACTGTGAATCCCGAAGATAGTATCTCGAATATTAGTAGTAAAGGGAGTAAAATTTCTTCAGCCTCTAGAGCCAAAATGCGTGCAATTAAACTAAAAGAGGAATTGTTTGCTTTGGAAGAGTCCAATCAACTAGAAAAACAAAAACTTGAAATGCAACGAGCCATGGAAGGAGCCATGGAAGAAATCAACAGAAAACAAAAAGAAATACGTCTGCGAGCACAACTTAAAGCAGCAACAGAAATAGCAACAGTGTTAGAAAATAAAAGTAGAGTGTCAGATTCAGAACTAACATTGAAACAAAAACCTATAATTCCTGAACATTCTCCCAGCAGTGTTTCTAATCATGTGACTGAACCTGAAAGTTGTGTGAATATTGAACCGGAAATCCCTGTGAGTTCTGATAGTTGCCCTAAAACGGCTGTGAATAATGTTGACATATCCGATATATTGGCTAAACTTGTTGAAAATCAGAGGGACCAAGTACTTCCTAGTCAGGAATTACATTATTTTGATGGAACTGATGTGTTATCTTATCAAACATTTGTGAAGAATTTTCAATTTATTATTGAACGGAACACTAGTGACCCTGCCAGACTTTTAGAATTTATGTTAAAATACACAAAGGGTGAAGCACACGAACTGATCAAATTCT